CTCTTCTGCAAGGTTTGCAGCAAGGTAAACCTCTTCGCTCCCTTTAACCTGACTGTTTGTGTCCACAGAAAGCGTTGGAGATGTCACGGGAAGACTACGAGGGACTCCCGGGCTGGAAGCAAGTGAACCTGAAGAAAGCCAAAGGACTGTTTTAGAATGAACTGCCAACCCAGCGACTGTTGCCGGGGCATGGACGGACTGACCGGATTGGCCACTGAGGTGACTTCAGCCCCTCCCCCCCAGCTGACTGTGAGGCTCAGGGGGCCAGCTTCTCCTGAGAAGGGGCAATGAGAGAGGGGATGAAAGAAAAGGGTGGAGGATCTCCTGAGGTGTGCAGGCCTCTTGTAGCGTTTTGTAATGTTCCTGTTAATTTCGTAGGAGAATCCTGAGGAAGTTTGAGTGGCTGCTTTCCAGGTTAAAAAACCAGGCCCTGCCCTTTTTACTATTCATAGATATATCCTTTACATGCACTTATTGTACAGGTCAAATTGCCGACTGCAGAAAGACATCACCTGGCCACGTACTGCCTGTCTTTGTAAGGTTTTTTTTTGTGTGTGTTTGTGCGTTATAAATTTCTATTTATGTAAACACCTTATAGGGAAAAAAGAGTACTCCAGTCTGTTGTATTTACTCTGAAGGGTTTGCGCCATGTTGACAGGTTAATGTGTCTACTGCTTACTGAAAGGAAAACCGCATGCCACTGGTGTACCTATCAATCCGCATTCAGAAACATCTGTGGTCATTGTTGTGTCCTTCCTCACCTGTCGGGTGCTGAGATGAACGGCGATGTATTTTAAAGGCATGGAATTAACGACAAAAATATAAAATTTAAATGTATAGTGCCTTGCTTTTGTGTACAGTTTATATACAGAAAGATTCTAGTCTGCATTTTGAAGACTGTTTTTTTGTGATAAATGAAATTAGAAAATAAACACATTTTAAAATCCTAGAATTAAGTTTGGACTCTGTGTTGATTGAAGTGTTTGTATTCCACTGTTTTGTCCTGTTTAGATGTTCTCACTGTAGCTCATACACTCTCAAGGTTCCTCATTTCTCTGCAGTAGAGTCCTGTTGGCTGGACAAACTCAACAGCTCATCTTTTGTTCTTGCACATCCTCCTCAGTGTGTCAGTGCCTTCACTCCACACTTAATCATGTGCTTTCACTTCAGTGCATTCACAGGACGACCTAGGATGTATATGTGATGGACCAAGCTACGTAAATGTAATTTGACATTATGAGCCAGCTAAGTGGAGAAGCAGAGGGGAGGTTCTGTACATATTCCAGTGCATATGATCTTGTTCTGCTCTTCCTTTTGGCATTCTCTGGTGTAGCACCACTCATTTGACTCACAGTCTTGACAAGTGCGCATTGTCTCCCCAGAGCTCACCTTGATTTCCCTTAATTGTGATTATGGTAAAAATAAGACGGCTATGTGAGTGAAGACCTTGATATGACCGCAGTGTCAGTTCTGAGGTTTTATTTGATTTCCATTTCTGACAGTTTAATACGTAGATCTGTTTTTGCTTTCTCCAGCAGTCATCACTGAGAGAGATTCTGAGAATGACAGCTATGATTTCCAAATCTCTTCATGTCATGTCTCTTCAGGTGTGCAGTATTTCATATGTCCAGCAGGGGGTGATACATGCCCTAAAATTGCTGAAATCCAAGGACTACTGTGCTGAAGTGAGCTTCCTGATGTTTTCTATAAAGTGCTATCACACTCTCTGTACAGTGTTTTTAAAAATGACAGTGTTAGCTCATATGAGGATATGATAAACACAATTTACCACTCACACAATAACTTGTTTGATAAACATATTGTGACAGTTTACAGAACACCTGTAACTGAAGCCAGTGGTAAGTATATGTGTTTTTATTTTTCTTTATCACACCTTGTTGTATGCATGTTTTCTGAGGCCTGTAAGCTTTTACTTAAACACTGACAGGCTTTTATTGATTTCTACTGTTTTCTAATGCCCCTCAGGCATTTTAATCAACCAAGTCGAATAACTCGCAGTGCATTCAATCCATTCCGATTTTATAGCTGTTATTCATGATTACTTGGGTGTAAATGTATTCATAGCTGTTTTTGCTTATTCCAAATTCATTAATTTGGTGGTAATATTGTAGCGTAAATGTATGCAACGGCACATCCAGTACTGAAGCATTTTTAAGTGTGTGTGTGTGTGTGTGTGTGTGTGTGTGTGTGTGTGTGTGTGTGTGTGTGTGTGTGTGTGTGTGTTGGGGTGAAGTGTGTGTCGTGAGCATGCTGGCAGGTCAGAGTCCCGATGCGAAGGCTGATTACAGGCTGAAATTGCTGATAATTGCAGGCTGCGTGAGTTCAAAGGCGGAGGAGATCGTTCCAGCTCTTCATGTGTGACAGGGAGCCGTGGGCGCCTGCGGACGTGGGGGGGAAATCACTTCAGCCCGCTGCCAGGAGATGCCAGAAAAACAGCTGGGCTGCAGGGAGAAGGCCGCACCTCCCTCCCTTCCACTCTGCAGAAAGAGAGGGAGAGAAGGAGCTGTTTACTGGGTGAAGCAAACGCCAGAGCTACTCTACTGGTGACCCTCTCCAGGTTATATGGACATTGTTTACCTCCTGGTGAACACTAGGTTCTGTCACTTTTTTGCACTCAAACATACTTTATTCTGATGGACCCAGACACACTGTGTGACACAACTGGACCAATCATAGGTGACTGCGCAATGCACATGATGAGTAAAGCAAACAGTGCTGTTGTTGCTTCACAAGTTGGTACATACTCATCTCAGTGCTGTGAACGGGATCTCTCTCTTTCATACATAATTATTCAGAGGGTTTCAGGATTTTTAACAGATACATACATATGTGCTACAGGAAGAGGTTTATTCAGAGACGTAACCTGCTTTGTATGAGACAAGCTATTCAAATGATTCTTCATCTCAAAGTTTTTTTTGGTTTATGAAGTTGCCGCAGTGAATGGCTTTTCTCTATAATATTCAGTATCTTTTTTATACTTATATTCAGTATTCACATTTTACTCGTATATTTTAAACAATGGCACTATTTTCACAATGAGTGGAACACGTCTTTGAATTTTAATGCGTGTATCAAGGGTAACTGATCGATACAATACAATGTAGACTAAGTAATGATTCCCCATTTACTGTCTCTCTTTATTGTCTCTCTCTATCCACTCTCTCAAGCTGTAAAATTAAACTGACATGGCTGTAGGCTATGGTGTTGCCTCTTTACTGCCTTTAATCTGGTCCATGTGGTTGGAGACCTAAAGCCAACTGTGTCAGCGTGTCCAGGGATGGTCTGCCTGCTAATATGGGAACTGAGACACCGAAAACATGCAGGTCAGATTGTGAAAAGGTGGAGGACACTTGGCCAGGACCTCCGGGGTAGGAGCAGAAAGTCTCTACCAGGGTGCGATGCTCTGTAGCCAATGAAAGCATTTTTAAAAAATGCCCCGGGTTACTAAAACCGAAGACTCGAGATGCACGTATGATAGGTAATCAGATTTCTGAGGCCCTGCTGGCTTTTAATATTACCTATGTTATTTAAGAGACATACAGGATTATGGAAAGCTCTCAGGTTTTGCGCTTTATCTGTAGTCAGCAGTTTTTCTTTTCCCCATTTGCCTTTAATTCCTTATAACTTAACTGCAATAGACATAATATCTTATCACTCCCAAAACATTTATAATGAAGCTTGTCTGAGAGTTGGAAGAAACCCAGCACAGAGTGAATTGTATGCAGAATGTTTCTTTGGGCATGCATTCAGCATCAGGCTTAGATGAAGGGCACTGCTGCACTTAAAAGGTAGAGGGGTAGGCTACTTGAGACATTGCTCTGTCATTTTTTTTTCCACAATATTCTGAGTACAGTCTACAGTTATAAGATATGAAAGATATAAAAGAGGTAGTCATTCCCCCTTTTAGGAGTTCTGACTGAAACCCAGAGTGAACAATCCTACCTGTTCTATTATTCATGGCTTTATTTGGAGATCCACCAGTGGGTGGTCAAGTGCTGTCACAGTTAAGCGATCCTTATCTGAGAACTGATTAAGAGCTTAAGAGGAAATTAAGAGCTGGGCCTATCAGACGGCTCAGCCGCTGTCTGGGCGCTGCCCACGCTTCTCTAGGCAGGAAGGTCTCCGGTTTCCTCTGCATTCCAGAGGCTGAGGAAGACACAGACGCTGAGCTCCTGCCGCAGATTATCTGAAAGGAAGAACCACACCTCCTCTTTTCTTCATCAGGCAAAGGGCAAAATGGATAGATGCGTTTAAAATTTAGACTGGATTTGACCAGATGAAAGTACGCTGTCATGACCAGCTCCGTGGACAAGGAAAGGCTCTCTAGACTCTCAACATAATTTTCGTAACTGTGCTAAGAACTAGAATAAGAAAAACATGCAGTGATCACCTCTGGCAGTTTTTTTCCAAAACGTGTTCTTTTGTGATGTATCTATATTGAATATTCTGTTAATATTTCCCTATTCTTACTGAGGATTTGAATGTTGCTGTGGGACATTAAGAGCCCACCACCTTACCTCAGAACAACAGATTGAAATTTGGACAAGAGATATTTGTGCCTAAATCAAGGGGAAAATCTGCAGCCCCTCTTGGTTCTGCTGCGATATCATGTCCCGGTGCATGAATTACTCCCTCTCAAGTGCTCCTGTTGGGTCACGAAGCGCCCGGCACTAACACATTTAGGGAGAACGGATAGGCCGAACTGAGATTCTCATCAAGAGCGCTACAGCACAAGTGGATTATGTAATATTCGCTCAGTGGGAGTGGAAAGTGCAGTATGCACTACACCCATACACATTACCAGTGCATCCCACATGTGGGATAGGAGACACATATATACTGCACTGCGCACACAGGATTGAAGGTCCTGCTGCTCAATGTACAGTGCCCTGGTGAGGCCCACACAAGTAGAAGAACTTGTACTTTTGTACTTTAGCAGCCAAAATGTGTTCATATCAAACCCAAACTTTATTTAAAATGATAATTTTAGCCTAGTGGTTAAGGCGTCTGACTTTGGATCGGAAGATTGAGGGTTTGAGTCTCTTCGTGGTGGTTGAGATGCTCAGGTTTTAACAGGTGGCGTTTATTTCAGTTGTGAGATGTAAGGAACCCGTCCTCAGCTTCAAATGAAAGCAACACCTGATGTACAAAACAGAGAAAAATTTCTCTTCTCCTCTGTAACCAATGCAAGTCGCTCTGGATAAGAGTGTCTGCTAAATGCCAATAATGTAATGATTATAAATAAACCAACCAGCAGTTTCTCCAAAGCCTAGGTGCAAATGTTTCTGTGAGTTCCCCTTGAATCTAACTTGAGAGAAGTATACAAAAATGGCTGTTGATATGAACCCCAAATGGGCGTGTCCGTTTGCCCTTCCTATCACCTGGCACGTTGGCATTGCGGGCGACAGAGTGGGGCCCGTTCTGTCAGACTGTTGGAACACAGTGCCCCCTGAAATGACAGAAGGGTGGGGAATTAACAGATCAAGGTGCGAGCGTAATTAAAACATCAGCCAGTGCTGGTTCCGCCATATGCCACAAACAAAACGTGCGCCGAGCAGTTTAAACACGCGGGCAGGAACAAAGCGCGGGGCTGGGGAGAGCGGGCTCCGTCAGCTGTTTTTGCCGAGGTTCTTAACCATCTGCTGTGTTACTTATCAATTTCCGGATTAACATAATGTTTATGATGTTAATTTGATACAGTGTCATCGGCGCAGAATGCCACTGTTAAGGCTAAGCAGCATTATCTCTCGACACTCCCTCCTGGCCCGCAGCCAAGCCTGTGGATTTAATTGTTTTCCTTCTCTGAAAAATTTAAAAACAAGCGCTGCGCAGTGGGAATCATAATGTAACCTGTCTGCCTGTTTTTCCCCTGGGGGTATTAACTGTTTATTTGAATGCAGTTCTCACCACGATAATGAAGTGCGTTTATTTATATAGTACGTTTCAAGGACCTCAGAGTGCTTTACAGTAGGGGAGGGGCAATCCAAACTGCCACTGCCTCACACTGTGCATTATGAAGGGGTTTTACATACAGTGCCATCTGCCTGTCATAAATGGAGCAGGCCCCTCCAAGAGAGAGCTACTTCAAAACCCCTGAGCCCAAGTGATTTATGTCCGATATGGCCAGTGAGCTCTACTAATAATCCTAGATGTAGTCGTCACAATGGAGGAGGAGGGAGAAATGCAGACTTTTTTTTTCCTCCCGTGTTTTGGTCAGAGGGGTGCTCAACCCCCCCATGGCGCAGATAACAGACACTCCCTTGCCTGGCTGAATGCTGAGGGAGTGAGAATGCACTGGTAGTGTTTCAGTGTGGTCAGTTCACCTGCAGCTGTGAGATGCTGGCTAGGCCAACAGTCTGGAGTGCTAAAGGATATGGGCGAGACATTTGTCTGCTCTCATGTTTGTTCCTGTTTCTCATTCACGATAGTACAGGCATTTGCTTATCTGAGGGAACAGAATACCACAATCTCAGTCTTCTGATTCAAAAGCTCAGGATGCTTTCAATACACTACTTAGCCAGGATCACTTTAACCTACTTTTAATGGCAGCTCCAAAACATTTTGTGTGTAATCCTGATATCTATCCCAGGTCAGTGCTTGGGAGCAGAATCTGCTGTATCCATGACAATTCAGAGCAGGTCAGTGATGGGAAGGAGGAGAAACACAAACTCAGAGGAGTTCCTTCTTCATGGAATTGATTGATTTTATTAAAATGACATTTGCACCTAAAGAGGGCAGGTAGTTGTGTCTCGCTTCCCCTTCCCCCTCTTCAGAACAAGATGAACATGAATGTGTCTCCAGACTGTGGTCTCCATCACACACCACTACTCTCACATTCAGTGGGGGAACGAACAAACCCTTCGCCATGAGAATCCGATGGCCCTTTTCAGACTGCTTCCTCTACACCACTGTTCGCGTCCTGGTGATTTCACAGACTGCGTTTAGTGATGACAGAGTAGACTGTGGCCTCCATTCATACTAAAGCCTTATCCTCAAATCTAAGTTGCACATTCATGTTCGTAAATGTTTTTTTTTTTTTTTTTAACATGGGGCTGGGTACATGTGAACGTTTCCTTAGATTTGTTGTTCAAGCAGAAGTATAAAGTGCCAGGCAGTCAGACCTCTGAGAGATGGGAGCTGAGTGATGTCTGAAGAATATTGCCTTGGCAAAACCCAGGGTCTCCTTTGAGGTGAATCCAGCTGGGGTCTCTGACCAGGCAAGACACGAATCTCGTTATATCGTACCATTCTGTTTTTCTGTGGAGAGCTGTGGTTGTGAAACGTGCACTTCAAGGGGAATTCCATACAGCGCGCGCGGAAAGTCAAGCTCAGCGCAGTCTGTCTTTCAATCGCCTGCAGCTACCTGGTCGCATGACCCAGCCTGTGGTTGTTAACCTGCTGCGTGCCGCAGCGGAAACTGACCATCAGCTGAACTCGATCTACCTGAACCGATCTGGCCTGGTTCATGGAAGCTGGCAATGGACTTTGATGGACTTCCAGCCAGAGGTGACTCAGCCAGTCAACCAGCAAGGCAGACAAGTGACTCACCCTGGCCCGCCACGCCTGGATAACGTGACGCACTTGAGTACCGGGAGACGAGAAGCTGAAGGTTTATAACTTGGGAACGTAGTTATTTGTTTTCTTCTACTTTGTTTGAAATCGCATGATGCTCATTATTCCGAGGGTGCTCAGATCTCTGAAGGTTAAGAAGTAAATATTTGCGATTGGAAAAACGTGACATTTATGTACGTTTAACATTCCTGTTTTGATGTGGTCTGCCCCCTGGGGAAACCACAGATCCAAAACTCTTATTTCCCATGTGCTCAAGAATGAGGGAAAATCTGGCTTGTTTCTTACAAGTAATTAGTCTAGTCAATAAGGCTGAGAAGTCACCTTTGACAAGTTAAATATGCGCAGATATGATTGCGTGGACTATAAAAAAATCATTGATTTATGTTAATATATGTACACTTGTAAACGGATATCCTGTGAAAAGTAGACCACCTTTACCATTGAGAAAATTACATGGTGTGCCTTCAATTCAGCTAATCATTTACATGCAAATGGAGTAATTAAATGAAAAAGCTATAAATGCATCAATGGCATGCAGTTTAAGAGGAGCATACTTGTATGTAAGAACATAATTAATTATGTTGTACCTCGCCAGAGAGCCTCAGTCTAGAAGGAAACTCTCAGGAGAGTCAAAGTGTTAATTGTGTACGTGATGTTCACATGAGGAGGTACCGGTGTCTGGTGCAACATGAATGAATTGTGTGTACTGAGGGAGGAAAGTGTGATGTATCCCCCTGACAGCCTCAATGTTAAATTTAGCAAAGGGCGGTCTGGGAACGACTCTTTATATGTGATGATGACAATGACGACAACGATGAGGAAGATGATGATTATGCAGATGACTATGGCCATCCTCATCTCTAATAATTGTAGACATTTAGGATTTGACATTTGACACACAATTCCAGACACATCATAACTCCATGTCCATAGTCAAAGATTGTACTGTAGAGATTTATTAAAATACTTCATTTGTTAATTTATATTAGTTCCCAATGTTTAAAATGACTATGCGTGCTGTATATCCTTGTACACTAATCGAATGACAAGTCATTATATCAGTAAGCTATAACTCCAAAATGTACAGCATCACTCCTGTGTATTATGTGACCTCCCCCATATCCTCCTCCCTTCTGTCTCCCTCACTCTTTCCCTCGTTACAAAGTGGAGAGTTCGGAAACCCCCAGTGACCCTGCCTGATAGGACTGTCAAACACATTCAACATCACCGACTCTCGACTGTATAAAACAATCCATAAAGTATCAAACTATGTTATATCGGTACTTCCCCACAACTGCGGCGGATTGTCTGCGTAAACTGCAACCATGTGAAGTTCCATAAACCCTTCCAGCTCACATATACAGGAAATGAAAACCAGAATGGAAATAAAAAGCTGAGAACATGTTCCCATCGCAGTCATCCTGGCCAGGCGTATTTTATCATGATTATGCTTTGGATGGGGTAAGGGCATACCTGCCCGCGATTAAACCGGCTGATAATGGCTGACATGAAGCAGAGTTGTGGCACTGTGTTATTGCTAAATCCTGTAAACTGTGAATGTTTCCTTCTAAAAACACGAACGCCACAATCATAGTCAACGTAGTCAACATATCCCTTAAAACCTTGCTTGTGCGTGCTATTCACTTCAGGCAGGTTACACACCTGCGCATGCATGTGGAAATTTTCTGGCAAGTGAAAGTGGCAGCCAATCACCATCTGTGATGCAGTGTGATGAGGGAGGGGCTAAAGGACCGTACCATGCATGACATCGCAGTCCTTTGCCTGTTGGTCCTGGCTCCTCCTCTGCTAGGTTATCGTGTTACAAGCACGCGTGTTTTGGCTTCCAGCTGAATGCAATCTGTTCTGTTTTGTGCCATTTCCCTCAACAATGGAAAACAAAACATACGTTTCGCGTCCAAATGATTTGTACCGTTTGGCATGGTGTACTGCTTCAAAGGCCAGGCTGACCCTATTCGTGTATCCTAAAAGGCTTACCATAGAGACTCGGGTCAGGTGACTAACTTCTCACCTTAGATGAGGGACAGCCATTGCTGGTTCAATTTAACCATGTTTCCTTGTGATGAGGGAATGAGGCTTCATAAACGTGTGTTTATCACAAAATCTGAGTCACCAGTCATCTGAAAGGAACTGAGATGATTAAATATTTTTTATGTACCGTTCCTTTCAGATACTGGCGAGCTCTGACACACATTCATGTTCGATGGTTATGTTGGGAATTTGGAGAAGGAGGAACATTCCTTGAGGGTATGCCAATGCAGTGGTGGTTTAGGCTGCACAGAGCAGACGCCTCCCTTGTGCTTTGTGGAAGAACGCTATAACGGCTTCAAGTATGACAATGCATGTTTACATAAATTTTGGTTGCAGAGAGTGGTTCAGTGGTCTGTTAGGGGGGACCTGAGTGATGCAATGTCCCCAGCCCTAACATAACCTCTCCTGGTACTGTAGACCGGTGAGCTTGCA